TTTCCCTGTAACCTGATCCGTATGTGCCTCTAAAAAATTCCTCACTGTTTATCACCAGTAGATGAACACTGCCATCCATCCCTGTCCTCCTAACCAAATGTTTATCAACAGCAGATAAAGCCAATTATAACTATCCTTCCTAGAACTCGTTTTTTCGGGCTTTTGTAAACCACTCTGCATAACTCAAGACCTCTACTTTTCTAATTGTGTAGTTTTTTTTTTTTCTTTTTTTACCTTTGTGGTTTTTGCCTTTATAAATCTTCCTCCCCCTATTTTGAGGCTACAAGGTTTTAGAGTGACTTGAGTCCTCTCAGAGGCACCAGCTTAATAAAGGCTCTTTTAATTTGGCAAACACTGGATGTCTCTTACTTTCTCGCTGATTTAAATATAACAATGGAGAATCAGGTTGGCACTTTCAAACAATTCAGGGGGGAAAAGTTTTGTACTGTGTTTTCAATTTTTCCATGAGTTTGAGATTAGTTTTTAAACAGAAAGAGCAAAAAATGTAATTTCATTTTGTGTATTGCATATACACAGCCCTGGTACCATTGAAAGTTTGTCTTTCTCCTTTTTGCAGTTGAATCCAACTTAAATTGAAATATAAAATGCTTAACTAATACAAATTTAATATATGAGAAACAAATGTGACCTATACTAGTATTTAAAACCTTAATTTTTTAAAGGAAACAACTTAAGGTAAATATAAATTAGTAGAAAATCTTTAGGAAATCTGTGCTGTGTAGATTTTTTTGGTCTGCTAAGACACAATTTGTAGACCAATGGAATACTGCAACAGAAACCATAAATTACAAAGTAACCCTTACACACAGTAATTAGAATCCTTATCCTACATACACCTCTGGCTATAGTAATTTAACTTCTCTGAGAAAACAGGCTTCTTTCCCTGACTAGGGTCCTTCATAGCATATCTTTCTAAACCAAAGGATCATCTTTCTACTCTTCATTTGTATTTATTTAACCATTATAATTGCTGATTACATAAGTTAGGTTTAACAAATATTCCTTTAGTAAGAAACAATTTTTGAGAGATTAACACATTTTACTTTTTGCCTTAACTTATGGCCCACCTGATCTCAGGCAGAGAGATAATTACCAAAAATAGCAAATAAATGTTCTTAACACTTTAATTCATTTAATACTTGTTACAATATCAATCTCTTTCAAGCCTGCAAGCTGGACAAACAGAAAATAACAATTACCAAGATAACAGCTTTCATCTTCAGTTCATCTTATGCAACATTGTATACATTATTGTTACACAATTTACTAACACTCAGTTATTCTATCAAGAAGAATATTGCAAAACAATTTCAATTATTAAAATCTACATCCAGAAGAAAAGAGATATCTGAAAGAAATCAACATCAAGGAAACCCAGGTAAACATTTCTCAGAAGGTGACAGGAGCATAGCTTCTGTTCAAGTTTTAACTATAGTTATTAAGTGAATGTTTAGTGTCACTCCATTTGTACCAGAAAGAGCAAAAGAAACAGCATCCCCATCCTCCTTCACCAAAAACAAAAAACAAATAGGAGATAATAGACAAAAATTGATATCAAGCACCCCTTCAAAAATTATTTAAGAGAATGGAGCTATATGCAAAAGAGAATGTGCCCTTTACCATGGAAATGAGTTGAGGAGTTTATAAGCCAACTGTGTATTCCTATGAAATTCAAGTAATGTTTTCTACCAACTGACAAACCATGACCCACACAGGGATGTTCCCTGCTCTGTTGCCAAAACATAAGGCAAAAAGCAGCCAACCCATTCATCTTGCCTGCAGGCATCTGTCCCTGAGCTAGTGCTATGTAATCTGTTAGCTTCACCATGCCAATGCTACAAAATGCAAAGCACTGCATCTTGTCAATTATCAGCCAGTTCACCATCAACCTTACCAAGTGAATATGATACATGGCATAATTTGTTATAATGTAAACCATCACAAATAGTCCTCATCAAAACTGTATGGGCTATTTCTGATCAGTGGAGAGGACACATAAAGTAGCTACATACCATTCCCCTAACTCCCAATTTGTTCACTTTATTAAAGATATCATGCAATGACTATCAGCAACAGAATCATAGCAAAAAATTATTTTAAAAGGAAATATTATCTACTACTTACGAATTGGAATAATATCAAACTATTAAGCAGAATGACTTGTTTAGAAAATGGTACCACAAACTTATCATTTGGCAAATGACTTTCAGTTTCTCATCTAACGTCACTGGAGTGACCAATTCAGTCTCTATGACAAGGTAAACATTTTAATACATTCTAAGGTTTGCAATGTCAGTCATGTTTTCACACAGGTTGAAGTAGACATTTTTCTAGGATTTGTTTGTTTGTTTTTAATTAGCTACAGGGCACATGTGCTAGCTAGAGAGACAGAAAAAGAAAGAGGGAAAACAAGAAAGCACCCATCAGGGAGATGAGCATGCTGCCATCCCTTTTCCTCCATTCTCCTCTCAGGATTCTGGTCACGCACACACATGTGCCCCGCGTGTTTCTCCAACCACCAGGTCCCAGACTCATGCAGTTGGCCATGTAGAATGCAACCACTCCAACACCACACCATCAGCAGGCCCTTTCAAGGAGTTTAGTACTCATCAAACCATGTTTTCTAATTGAATGCTACAAGTGCAAATCCAAGATGGGTAAGTTAGTTTGACTGAAGAGATCAGGTTTTCTTTGTGGTGCTGAAGCTGATAGTCAAATAATACCCATAACTTGGAATTCGAGGAAATAGCCATTAGTAAGTAGGGACTTTTGCATTTTGTTTGGTTTTGTTGTTCCTCCACAATCATGTTTGGGGTGATCCATTGGTGACAACACTTAATGGAAAGAAGCTCTCACTTTGCGACCCTTCAGAGGCTGAGGTGGGCGATAGTTGCTCAGTAAAAAAGCTGCTGCTTCGCCCTCGGCTGTACATAGGAGACTGCGGAATTTGGTCAGCTGTTGAAGAAAAGAGAACTTAGTTTCAACATAGAAAGTCATACCCATGTTAATGAATCACTTTGCATAAAGATTAAGAAATGTATAACCTTTCCTCTACCCGTAACTAAAAATACTGCAATGAAAAGTTTCTGTTATGGGTCACACATAATAAAACAACTCTTTTACTATATACATATCACGATGCAAATACCTATAGATTTAAAAAAATAGTATATAGGCATTTTTAATGAAAGGTCAGAGTAATAGGAAACAACATCTAGAATGTGGTTTAAAGAGTACAGGCTCAGCCTTGGTGACACAGATAATTGTGTCTTGTTCTGGAATGCTGGAGCCACATGGCTGAACAGGGTTTGGATCCCTTGTCAACCTAAAACATATCAGGTGCATACCTATGCACCTGTGACCCTAGCTGGCTAGAAGGTTGGGGGAGGGGTTACATGACAAGACTAGGTTATAGGTACCTATCTCTCTTGTGCATGCTCTTTCTCACTCTTTCTTATGAAAGAAATAAAATTAATAAATTAAAAAATAAACCTTGGGACCAGCAGATGGCATAATGGTTATGTCATTGGACTCCCATATAGTTGACCACGGTTTAAGTCCCAGACCCAACGGCTTAAACTCATGCTGAGCACGTGTGCATGTGTGCCCGCCCAAAATCTTAAGAAGAAAATGGAGAAGGGATTGTGGTGTGGTGATTTCTCATTTTCTGTCTCTTTGGTGTGCTCACATGCCCTGTAGCAAAAGGCTCTCTCTAAAAACAAAACAAAACATGTTTCATAAGACCAGACCATTATAGCTAAAACCAGGAAAGAGAATCCCGGGAGAAGTCGAGTAGCAGAGGCTAAGATATCTAACCCCTAGGACCATGGAGAAGACCCCAGTCCACTGCAGAGTATGATAGTCTGGCTCTGTCTGGAGGAGCCATTACAGGTGTTTGTGCAGGGATCCTGAGTCCTGTATTAGGGCACTGCTTCACAGACCTTACCAAGCACAACACTTCTTGTCAATGGACCACTGACTCCTCTGAAGACCTTGCCTTTAATTCCCTTCCACAATTCTCCCCCACCCCAACCTCTACCACCACCACCATTCAAGCCCTCTGGAAGCTGATCATGGCTCCCTACTCCTACAACACATTAGCCTCATCAGTCTAGAACTGGATCCTACATTGAGCTTTCTCTGACCAACCCGATCTTGTAGGCAGGAGTCCCTAAACTCGTCTTGACGTCTCAACCAACTCGTTGCATTTACACTCTGGATCTCTCCGTCTCTTGGCCCAACTAGTAGATTCTGAACCTGGCAGTCTTTGCAGATTTGCTTTTCTTGGCTCTGGTGTCCTCTTGCCACTGCCCTGGCACTGAAGTGAATATCCCTGACTGGCACCTACCCTCTCATCCTCTTATGTGGCCCCAGGCTTTGTTCAGGCAGAAAACCTGCCCCTCTGTCACTAAGGCTAACAAAGTCATGAAGCAAGTAGTATGACCTGTTATGCTGGCTTTCTTGGCTTAAATACTAAAATTTTAATTTTCTTGTGTAATAACACCAGTAAGTTGAAAAACTTTTTCTGTATCATGGCTTATGTCATTCTCATGCTCAACCATCTTTAACAGCACTCCGTTGCCTGCCAAAGTCAAGTAATAATTCAAATACGCTCTGTCAGGGAACACAGCAGCTAGGCACTGTGCCGAGTGTTTTAAAGTACATTGTCTCATTTAATCCCCCAATAATCTCATTATTAATATATAGTGATCCCATATTACAGGTAAAAAACTTGAAGGAGAGCTATGAAGTGTCAATAAATAAGTCATCTGGCAAATATGTCACACACTAAGCACAGAACTACATTCCTCTCTATTATTTTTTTTAATTTTCCAGCATTTTCCTCTAATCTCTCTTATTTACTTTTTATTAAGGAAATACTCAAATATATATAATATGCATCATAATAAGCCACCACAAATCCACATCCAGTTTCAACAGTCATCCACATGAGGCTGATTCTTTTCATTTCTACTCCTACCAAAGTTCTCTACCTTCTGTCTTGAACTGACTTGATTATTTGAAGCAAGTTCCAAACTTCATATCATTTCAGTATAAATATTTATAAATATTTCAGAATGTAGCTCTAAAATGCACAACATTTTAGGCTGGCCCAATAGTACAGCAAATAAGCACTGTGTAGACAAATCTGGACTCCACATGGCCAGCCATGGTTCAGCTCCTGGCCCTAGAGCCTTGAGAACCACACAGGACATGTGTGGACACACGCTCAAGATCCTGGTGAAATGAAGAAATGAAGGAAACAAGATTGCAGCATGACCATGCCCTTGGGGAGTTCTTTCTCTCTCTCTCTCTCTCTCGCTCTTGCTCTCGCCCTTTCTCTCATTCTCCCATGAGTGCACAGACTGGCAATATGAAGAAAAAATGTTTTAAATTTTAAAATACATAATGTTTACAATATTCACTCAAAACAAAAATGTCAGCTCTGTTTTTGTTTTCTCATCAAACAAACAGACAAACTAAAAGTTAACCTTATAATGTAAGAAAATTTTTGCAAAAGTATCCAAGAAAGAGCTTGTATGCTTTTATCCAGACTATATGAAGAACTCTTGTTAATTCCTTAGTGAGAAGACAAACAACCTAATTTTTTAAATGGGCAATTGATTTGAACAAGCACATCACAGTGGAAGATATATTCATACCCAATTGACATAAGAAAAAATGTTCCAGATCACCAGTCATTAAGAAAATTAAAATCACCCAAATCCATGAGAGTAGCTAAAATTAGGAAAACTGACAAGCCCAAAAGCTGGCAGGAATATAAAGCAACTTAAAACTCATGCATTGCTGGTGGGAATGCAAGACAGTACAATCATTAGAAAGCATCGTGACATTACCTACAAAATTAAATGGACATGACCTAGTAATTCTAGTCCTAGCTACTGACTGAAGACATATGAAAATGTGTCCATACAAAAATATGTACACACATTACCTTTAATATTCAAATGTGGATAGCCATTAGTCATCATAACCAAAAACTGGAAGCCATTTGAATGTGTATCAATTGTTAAATAAGATGTTTTTCAATATAATGTGGTATATGCATACCACAGAATATTATTCAGTAATAAGAATTTTAAAAGTGAGTGAATCTTAAAAACATTGCGCTGGACAACTACAGTGGCCCGGTGGTAAGCAGTGTTCTCCTGTGCTGAAGCCTCAGGGGAAGCTCTCAGGTTTGCATCCCGAAGTCTCCTAGTGCACAACAGGCACACACATGGCTGTGCTCCTGGCTGGCTCCGGATGCAGGTGGATCATGGCACAGAGGCCCTGTTGAGAGCACCCTTTTTCTTTCTCTCTTGGAAAAAACAAATATTTTTTAAAAAATTATGCTAAGTAAGGGACCAGCAGATGGTGTAATGGTTCTGTTGCTGCACTCCCACATAGTAACCATGGTTTGAGTCCCAGAACCGACAGCTCAAAATTCACACTGAGAATATGGTCGTGTGTACCCAAAATCCTGAGAGGAGACAGAGGAGAAAAGATTGTGGTGTGGCCATTCCCCTAAGGGGTGATTTCTTGCTTTCTGTCTCTCTGTATCTCTGTCTCTCTAGCAATCGCACACAACTTATAGCAAAAATATCTTTAAAAATGTATGCTAAGTAAAGAAATCAACACAAATACATATGTGCCATGTGATTCACTTCAATAAAATTCTAGAAAAGGCAGAATTCTAGTGATAGCCTGTCAATGGTTATTTGCAGATTATAAGTGGGAAAGTGCAAAATTATACAAGAAAACTTTGGTTGAGGGATCTATTCTATATCTTGACCAGTGTGTCTTTGCATGATTTAACACAATCACCCAAATCAGCAGCCACACACTTACAATTTGCAAGTTTTATTTCATGCAAATAATATTATTTTTAAAAGAGGGTGCTTTTTTTATTATTTTTTTTTAAGAGTATAAGCAAAGTGAAGTGTTGTGCACATTGAACTTCAGTAATTGAAAAAAACCAATGCTGAAGATTTAGGGCAACCCAAAGAGACTTGGTAAACCAAGTTAATCTTCCAAGGAAAATGACAGATTTATTATCAAAAATATCAGAAAACAATACATCTGCCCACTAGCATGGCAGTTAAATCAAGAATTTAGTACTCACTGAGTGACTCAAAGGAAGAAAAATGGATTTGAATCAAGAAAATGAAAACATCTGATTTGTCCTTCAGGTCAGCGATTTGTCAAGAAATAGCAGAAAGCTCTAGAGAAAGAATCTGGCACCAACTCACTAAAAAAAGGATTTATTTGCCACTGCTGGTGACATTATATGATGGAACTAGAAAACAAATCAAAACAATGTTTCTCAATGACTTCAAAAAGAAAGAACTACCAACATCGAGATTAAAAACTGTATTTTGGAAAGAAACTCTTTAAATCAGTGATACATGCAATAGGTATTTTCACTTCACTTTACATAAAAGAGCTAAATAATTGAATAATTTTATCAATTTGCTAATCTCTGGGATTTTTAAAAAATAAATTTTTATTTTAGAACAGTTTTGTATTTACAGAACTATTGTAAAGCTATTACAAATATTTGTACACTTACCATATTCTTAACATCTGACATTAGTATGGTATATTTTCCCTAATTAATATATTATTTACTACAATATATTATTTACTACAGTCCTTCCTATGCTCACATTTCCATTGTTGTTGTGTTTTTTGGTTTGTTTACTTGTCTTTACCCAAATGTCTTTTCTGTTCCAGGATCCTACCCAGGGAGCAAAATTATACTTAGTAGTTATGTCTCATTAGGCATTTCATTTTTTTAAGAGATTTTTGCCATAGGGCATGTGTGCTTACCAGAGAGAGGGAGAAAAACAGAGACAGCGAGAGGGAAAGTGAGAAATGACCCCCAGGGGCATAGCCACACCACAATCCCTTCTCCTCCACTCTTCTCCTCGGATCTGTGCACACATGCCCAGCATGATTTTCAAGCCACTGGAGCCAGAACTCTAACAGTCAGTCATGTGGAAGTCCAATGATGTAATCTCTATGTCACCTGCTAGCCCCTTCTTTGGCATTTCTTAACTCTGACAGTTTCTAGAATTTACCTTTTTTGGAAAACCCTGACAGTTTGGAGGAGGGATTTTGTAAAATGTTCCTCAAATGGATTTTGTCTGATGTTTATCTCAAGATTAGATGCATTTTTAAAATACCATTTGCTTCATTTCTTAACTCTTAAAATTACTAAATTATAAAATTTGAATTACTACTCAAATAACCTCCCCAGTCTGGCTAAAAATGTAAATGTCTGAAAGTGTTCCAGCTACAGGATATTTAACTGAATGCTTCAGTGAATTAACAATCACATAGAACTCTGACATGCAGCTATTATTTTATATATTCTATTACATAAAGCCGAATTCATTGAGCCTTGAGGAAGACTCAGTAGTGAATCCACAGATAGGCTGAAATAACTCCTGAACTTGCAGTGAGTTCTTTTTAATAAGATTAACTTCATTCTTATTAAGAAAGTAAATGATATATTTTGACATGTTCTCTTCCAAATCAATAGTAGGTTAAAAAACAATACAACCAAAAAATAAGTTATTTCCCAAGTGGCTTTAAGGAATAAAAATATCTTTGAAATATGACAGAAAACATGATTCCCTTATTACCACCCTAATGTTATAATTTATTAACTCTTAATATTAACCAGTTCAAATTTAACAAAGAAATGTGAAAGTAAAGAGTTACAGAGGAGAAAAATGGATTCTGTTAATAAGGCCATAAATAAGGTAGGTCATTTTTCTCATGATATAGAGACGTGTTCATGATAAGACAGGGCAACACCTAATTTGAAGGATAACAAAAATAAAAACAAGCAAAACCCACAAAGAAGAAATCATCTAATTATAGAAGGCTAAATAAGAAAGGGACATAAATCTCATGTAGCCCAACCATCTAGATTAATGATTAATGATTAATGAAGGGAAAACACTGGACCTAGGAGATGGCATAATGGTTACATCTCTGGACTCCCGCGGTTCTAGTTCTGGACCTGGTGGCTTAAACCTCAGGCAGGGCATGTGTACATGCATGCCCAAAATCCTGAGAGGAGAAAGGAGAAGGGATTACAGCATGGCCATTCCTCCTGGGGGTAGATTTCTCACTTTCTGTCTTTCTGTCTCTGTCTGGATCTTGGGTGAGCGCATGCACCCAAAATCTCTCTCAAAAGAAAAAAAGAAGGAAAAACACAAGCTTCATAACATGGCCATGATTAAAGGTGGAGTTAAAAAAAAATAAAAATAAAAACGATTCCACCCAGTTTCCTCCAAGTGAAAGAGTGAATCAAAATCAACCTGGAAGAGCTGATATACCTGTTGAGAGCTGATATTTATAGGTTGCTTCAAAACGATCCACGTGACACTCTCGAGAAGAGGTGGAACTGTAAGAGAACCAGGATATGTCCAGTAGTCCCAGGATGGCGGGAGTAGAGATAATGGGTCAAAATTTGTGAATCGAGTTTGTTTACCCTGGAGGAACAAACAGAATTCCCACAAATTACAATGGGATAGCTTCATGCAAACCTCAAAATATATACGACCAATGAAATAATATGGAGTTATTTAGGATCTTCCTTTAGTGCCTTAAAAAACCATCTGCCTTCATCTAAAAATTTTAGATACATTAGCACATCTTACAGATTTAAGAAACACAAAATTAGTTTTTACATAAAAGGCCTTTAAGCTGTGTTACAATTGGGTTTATTCTGTAATACAACAATTACAGAAATGTTGTGTAAATAGTGACCATTTTAGATCATTTAAGACCCTTTCATAATTTTCCAACAATAAGTTGTTCTAGGTTACTTCTGCTTTTTTGGTCCAGTATGTTGCAAACTTGCTTCAAAGCAGGCCAGCCTATGTTATGTTGAAGATCTAAATCTTTAAGGGAAGAGACGAGAACTCAGGAGAGAACACAGAATATGTTAGGCATGAGCAAATAGTTATTCATTTTACCTTTTCTTTAATAGAATCCAAAATATCAGTAATCTTTTGCAGCTGGGGATTATGTTCACCAATCTAAAAACATGAAATTTCAAAAGAAATGGTTATCATAGCAGATGAAGACTGAATTACTCCATTTCAGCCACTATTTTAAAATTATTTTTTAAAAACCTAAGTCAGCACAAACTTAAAGTTTCCAGAACAAAGCTCTTCTTTTGCCTGCTGACTTTATCATGCTAAAAGAATCTGAACAAGATAATATTACAAGGTTCCAGGACTGAACTTTCAGTTTGTTTCCCAAACTAGTACTAACCACTTCCTATGTTTTCAGTTTTATGAATGCTTACTGTAAAGGTAACCTCGAGAGAACCACTACCTAAGAAATTCTAACAAAATATCTGCACTCTTAACCTAGATGTGACATTCAGACCCAAATCCAATCTGACTATCATGGCATCAGAAATATATTCCACTAGGGCCGGCAGGTGGAACAGTGGTTAAGACGCTGAACTCTCACATGGGCGACTGCAGTTTGACTTCCAGACCTGGCAGTTTGCTTTCTCACTTTCCTTCTCTCTCTTGTAAAATTAAAAATATAATAATAAAAAATAAAATTATATTTATAAATCATATATTTACATATATTTATTACATATGTGTGTATACATGTGTGTATAGCAAACTCATCATAAATATGTATATAGATACTCTTTTTTCATTTTTAGAGGTGTTCTGAGTCTACCTGGGAGTTGTTTGATTGGTTGGAATTGGTTGTTTTTTTTTTTAATTTTCTTTTAGATTTTTGCCATAGGGTGCAGATGCTCTCTGCAGAGAGAAACAGAGAGAGACAGAGAAAGAGAGAAAGTAAGAAATCACGCCTGAGAAAGATGGCTATGGCACAATCCCCTCTCCTCCATTCTCCTCTCTGGATCTTGGGCATGCATGCACACACACACAGTGTTTTCAAGCCACCAGGTCTGGGATTTTAACCATGGAGTTGGCCATGTGGGATTCAGTGTCTTAACCACCATTCCACCTGGTGGCCCTCCACCTGGAAATGTTAAATCCTTCAGGAATATAGTGTAGTCTCCTGGCCCACCTGAATCCTGCCACTACCACCCAGACTGGGTGGCCAAAGATATGGAACCATCTGTCTCTGCCCCAGGCTCCCCTGGTCCAGTTGCAGGAGTCACAGCCTCACACACAGAGTATGCAGCATGGTAAAAGCCCACGCCTTACAAAAATGTGTGGGAGGTGAGAGGCCCAACCTACCCCCAGGCATGATGACGATATTTGTCTGACCACATGTGATATGAGACAAAGGGAAACACAATAAAATGTTTTAATAATCTGTCAGTTCACTTGAAAAACACATCATTGTGGTCAAGCAAGTACTTCAAAAATCAGGAGCTTGAACTTTACTCTGTCCTTTATCTCTAAATATTGTATAATCAGGAAGAAGAATAAACTTTTATTCCCTCAGGATCTCAATCTGAGATCTTATTTCTGCTGCTATTCTTGCTAATGTTGCTGCTGCTCCTGACATGAAAAGGACCAATGAGCAATAAGAAGAATCACAACACAATACTCCAAAGGTAATATATAATTTGTTATACTCATTTCAAAATCGTACAAAACCCAGAGCTACTCTACTATTTTAAGAAATGGTTGAATGTCTGCTCCATGCTTGAAGCTCCTCATTACCAGAGGACATGTGCACTCCAGGAGAACCAGAGAGAGGGAGAAGCAACCCACCGTGGGGCGTGGTCACACTATAATCCCTTCTCCATTTCTGTGTCCTGTCAGGTTCCTGGGTACCCCCCCACACACACACCAGTGTGTTTTTCAAGCCACCAGCGTGAGATTCAAATCACAATCGGCCATATAGGATCTGGCTCACCCAACCACTAGGCAAGAGGGCCAGCCCATGTCTAAAATTCTCTATCCAATGTGGCTGATTACTTAAAATGAAATCAGTAGATTCTTACCTGTAAAAATACTCCCAAGACAGCTAGTCCATCTGGCTCATGAGCCGCCTCCACAAAGCTGGGGTATTTGTCTGAATTCCAATGAACAACATGGAGCTGGAAGGGAGATACACAACACAGTTCAAATGCTTTTTAAACATGCTGAAAAACATAAATGAAACTAAAGAGTTTGTATAGATTCTCCGGTGCTGTATGTGCATATGTATAATATATTCTTCACAAAGAACAGAATCTTCCTATTTACTTTTGTCCCCAACCTTAGTCAAACAGTAAAGAATCATAGTCATGTACTGAGTCTATGGTGCACAATTTAGAATGTTCAGATCATCCTTGCCAGCTCTTCTAGAGCTAACAAATTCCAACCATTACTCCAACCTACTTGTGGCTCTTCTATGCCTTCCACAGATAGGACTGCAATGGAGCAGCCTTAAATCAGATGCCAGTGCAGCCACTGAAGGAGCCTTGGCTCCCAAGTGGGAGGAGAGGTCAACCTCCTACACAGGAGGTTGTCAGGTACCACCCTGCTGCTAAGGATAGTGTCACTGTCCCAGAACTGCCCAGGTAGATGTTTCCCACTGTAGTTTAACTTAAAATTAATTAAAAATTAAATTAAGCTTTTAATTTTAAAATGCAATTCTCCTTATGAGTAACTATTTTAAACAATAAGCATGCAATTTTTACAATAAAAAAAAATGTCTGGCCTAGCCACAGTGGTGCAGAGATAACCCAAGTTCCCTGCAAGGCTTGAAGCCATATGGCTGACCACAGGTTTGAATGCCCAGGCTGAACTGAAAACACACCAGTACCTAGTGTGGGCACCCAGATCCTGAAAAGCTGGTGGAATGAAGAAAGGGGACTGCAGAGCGACAATACCCTGTCAAGGGTGCTTTTTCTCTCTCTATCTCTCTTATTTGTGCCTGAGACAGTAACATAGATTAATAATAAAATAATAATTGTTAAAAAGATTACTGTTAATGGACAAATCACAAATCATAATTGTGCATATTTACAGAGCACAATGTAATGGGGATGTGTGTGTGTGTGTATATATATATATATATTTATGTATATAAATGTGGGATAATTGAATTAAGCTTATTAAAGCCAATTAAGCTCATTAAAATATCTATCACATGGGGCCATTAGGTGGTGTGGTGGTTAAGGCATTGGACTTCCGCATGGTCAACAGAGGTTCAAGTCCCGGGTCTGGTAGCTTGTTATCTCACTTTCCTTCTCTCTCTCTCTCCCTCTCTCTGTCTCTCTCTGGTGAGCACATGTGCCCTATGGTAAATTTTTAAAAAATAAGAATGGGCCTAGAAGGTGGCATGGTGGTTAAGGCATTGGACTCCCACATAGCTGACCACGGTTCAAGTCCTGGACCTGGCAGCTTCTTTCTCACTTTCCCTTTCTCTCTCTCTCTGGCCAAATTAAAATAGTAATCATAATGATAATAAATAAAATTAAATAACAATACATAAAATTAAATTAATAATTCCTTAAAAGTAATCCATCACCTTAATTATTTATTAGTTTTTGTACATTTACTACATTCTATGAATGTGTTCAGATCCTTCACTGAGAGCAAGTTTTAATGCGGCAAAAGAGAACTAGGAGCCAGAAGTGACTGAGGCAGAAAATGAGACATGGATTGTGCTACTGAGGAGAAAGGAAAGGAGAGAAAGGAAGAGGGAAAGGGCTGGGGGACTGGGCAACTCTGGAAAACAGACAGGCCCTGCTTCACAAATCTACCTTCCTACGAGCAGCTTTTTGCAAAGCCTTCTCCAAAGGTGTCCTGAGTGTTCTGCCACTGTGAGTATTCAGTATCCTAAACACACAAAAAGTATGAAAATTTAGAGAAAAATAACAAAGCAGAAACCACTTTTGAGAGTCTTCAGTCCCGGTTAAGGGAAGGACAAATTGACATAGAAGCCAAAGGGCAATGTGACACGCCCAGAGGATTTATAGTTAAGACTGTAAATGGTGAAGGCCAGGCCATATCTCAAGACCTGATATGAGGGACAGAGCTCAGATAAGAACTGGTAGTGAATCCTTCGGCACTTCAGAGAGGAAACACTATGTGGGTTTTCAAGGCCAGGCAACCCCTCCTGCTGACAGTTACAGAGAGAATATAGTATATTTAAATACATTTGTTTATTCCATCCTTTAAATATAACTACATCTTACAGGCAACTGATACGAAAGGATTTCTGAATAGATGAGAATTATCATACATAGTCAACCACAAAACATCCACAGTCATGGAAGACTGTAGGCAATCCAGACCATCAAATGTAAGGGTGGATTCTTGTGGTGCCGTCTTCCACGTTGGTGTGAGATAGCTGGGTGAGGAAAGAACCTGAAAAACCCTGGATGATGAAATAAAATTCATTCGACTTCTATGAGACAGATGACATTCCACAGTTAGGGAGGAGCTGAAAAAGGTGTTAAAATTGTTTTAAATGGTTCTATGCCAATACAGCAGTTCTTAACAAGACATGACGCCCAAAAGACAGAGAGATGTGAAATGACATTTTTTAGGGTCACAACCAAAGCTGATTACAGAATAAATTTGTAACTAAATTTATTCTGTATATAGCCACCCTTCTGCTGCTTAAGAAAATCAAAACTATTTGAAATATTATGGGAAACTAGAACAAGGAAGCTTTTTTTTTTTTAACAAGTCCTCCTCTCTCCCACACACCTTGCTTAACTGCCAGCAATCCCTTCACAGAGGAGTTGATACCACTTTTATTAGTAGTTGTTTTTAATTAAGACTCAAACAAACAAATGGTGAACTCACATTTCCAGACTAACAACAACAGCCTAGGTCACCTAAGTGGAATGACAGGGAGCTGTTGTAGCTACTGAAGAAGTGGAAATGAGATTGTTCCCTGTTCAAAAATAATTTCTAAATAAGGTCATTACTCAACTTTAGTATTTTAAAACTGCATATTAGTGATCTGTAAAATATACTTATTATGCCAGAAAACCACCATTAATATTAAAATCATAGTTTCACTATTACCCACATATTTAATGTGCTTATTGCATATTCCGAATAAGTTTTAAACAGATGACATGGACTATTAGCTTAGGGGTTTTTGTTTTTTGCTTTATTGCCAGAGAACACATGAACTCACCAGAGATAGAGTAAGGAAGAGAAAAAGGGGGGAGGGAGAGAGGCAGAGACTGGGAGAAAGCACAACTAAGGGGGAATGGTGACACTGCAATCCCTTCTCTTCCATTCTTCCTTCCTATCAGAACTTTGGGGATGCAAACACATGCAAATAGGGCAAATCCCTAAAGCCACAGGGACTGAGACTCAAATAGCAGTCAGCCACATGGGATTCGGCTCCCCTAACCTCTGAGCTATGGAACTTCCTGAGCTTAGTTTTCTGTTTTTTGGGTTTTTTTTTAAGAATTATTTTTTAATTTAACTTTTTATCATTATATATTTTATCATTATATATTTTTAAATTTGTTATAGGGCATATATGCTCACCAGAGAGAGACAGAGATAGAGAGAAAGAGAAAGCAAACCATCAGGTCCAGGACTCACACCATGGTCAGTCATGTGAGAGTCCAGAGCCTTAACCACTATACTACTTGCTGCCCTTCCTAGCTTAGTTTTTACAGATGCATACGTATTGGGATAACATCTTTCATGGTTAAGAACCCTTTCATCTCTCTCTCTGTAATGTCACAAATCATATTAGTCCCCAATTTAAAATTTTACATACTGTAGTTTTGGATGGTTTTTGTCTTCCTTTTGTTCTTTTTATTTTACAAAAGGGTATAATTTTTTAATAGTCATGAATTCAATCATAAAAGTGACTGGAGAAAATAATTAATGCCCGAATCATTTCTGTAACTGGCCACAAATGGAATTTTTTGAACCTGAAACTAAATACCAGTGTCTCAGTAATTAATGCCCGAATCATTTCTGTAACTGGGCACAAATGGACTCTTTTGAACCTGAAACTAAATACCAGTGTCTCACAAATGCCTCATGTCCAGCCCTGATCTCTTCTTTAACCTCCGGTTTTGTACCTAACAGACTGCTTGAACACAAGCCCAGAATGCCTCACAGGCAGCTCAAACTCAACACGTCCAAACAAGGTTAACTTCTCTCTGCAACCTGCTCCTCCTTGAATTTCTCTATCTCAGTAAGTGGCACAGCCATTCTCTGGGTTGCTCAAGCTAAAAACTAAGAAGTGTTTTTAGACTCTTTCTCATTCCTGAAATCCCAACATCCACTGACTTTACCTCCCAAACATGCCTTGGATCTGTCAGCTCCCTTCATCTCCACCACCCCAGCAGTCCAAATCATCATTGCTCACTTGAACTATTTCCATAACAGGGTGTATGCACTCGCCAGAGGGAGACAGAGAGAAAGAGAAAGTGTGAAATCACCCCTCTCTCCGGGGGCGAGGGGCAATGGCCACGCCACAATCCTTTCTCCTCTGTTTTTCTCTTTAGATTTTGGGCATGCATGCATGTGCAACTGGCATGTTTTTCATGCCACCGAATCCAAGACTTGAACCATGAAGTTGGCCATGTGGGATGGTCACCTTAACCTCCATACTGTGGGTTGGACCCTTCCATAACCTTCTTATTTATCTACTTCAACATTTGCCCAATAACAGCCTCTTCTCCACATAGCAGCTGGTTATATATATATATATTTTTTTTTTGGGGGGGGGAGATTTTCGCTATAGGGCACATGCGCTCGCCAGACAGACAGAGAGAGACATAGAGACAGAAAGCGAGAAATCCCCCCCCGGGGGGATGGTCACACCACAATCCCTTCTCCTCCATTCTCCTCTCGGGATCTTGGGCACGTACACACATGCACCTGGCATGAGTTTTAAGCCACCGGATCCGGGACGTGAACCACGGTCGACTACATGGGAGTCCGGCGACATAGCCATTACGCTAACTGCTGGTTCCCGCAGCTGGTTATATTTTATAAAACATAAAGCAAAGGGACTGGCAGGTAGCATGCTGGTTAAGGGCGCTGAACTCCCACATGGCTGACCACAGTTCCAGTCCCAGACCTGGCAGCATGGTTTCTCTCTCTCTCTCTCTCCATCCCCCCCCCTATGGTCACCTTCTAGAAAGCTCTCTCTAGATTTTCTCATGGTGCTTTCTTGTCAGTCTCAATGCATGTATCATCTCTGAGGTCTTTCCTAATCTCTCAGTCACTCTAGATGATTACTTGACTTTATTCCTGTCAAAGAACTTAACTGATGCCGTGTGCTTATTGTCTATGTCTACAACTTCTGGGGTCTGACCCACTCCCACTCTCAAACTCAGTCGATCATCAAATCCCACTAAAGCTGTCATTTCCAGCCAGCCAGTCCTCCATCTGCACCAACATCAGTTATTGAAACTTCCACTAAATCCTCCTTAAGGGCTCCCATGAGTCACTCCTGCTTCACCCCAGTCTATTCTCAAACTTTAACCTGAATGATAGTTTTGAAATGCAAGTATGATCACTTCCTAATACAGCACCATTTAGCAGTTTCCCATTGCACTTACAATAAAGTTCATAACCCTTACTATGATCTACCTCAGTTAAGATTAGACCCTTTCCAGACTCTCCAAATCTGCCTTTGACAAATTTCCGTATTCTAATCACATGGCCCCTCCATCCTCATGTGTATAGCTCTTTCTTACCCCAAGTCTTCACACATGACTATGCAGGACCACAGCTGCCTCCCCTTTGACAGGCTCATTCTTGTTTAGATGTCAGGTTAAAGGCCTCTTCTGCAAGGACGCGTTCCCTGACCCCAAGTCCAAGTTAGCCTATGTGGCTGTGAGGACTCTAAGTCTCTCTGTCACTCCCCTCGGAATAAGCACAGTCAGCTGTGCAAAGGCTGGAGGTAAAGTCAGTTCTCAATGAACTCTTACAGAGTGAGTGAATACATAAACTAACAAAATAAGAACTAGCCTTAAATACATATTAAAGAACAGTATGAAATTCCAGTCCAAACTTGATCTGCAGGGCAGAGCTCTTAGCTTCTGACAAATCTCAGAGTGTGAACTCCTTTTCAGGAAACTACTTGTCAACCATTACTAAACTTCTGAGTGTATTCTTTAAAGTTTATGAAAGCACAGGGAATAAATCTCAAAGGAATGTCACTAATTTTTCTGAGTTGCTAAGGAAAATTAAGAGACCAGTCATCCGAAGCATCTAGCAATTAATCTCCAGAAACTGTTAAGATTTTGAACCACCTTTGTAGAGCAGAAAATTTTGGAAAGCAAATGTGAAAACTATTCTGTAGATGATCTAAACTGAGCCACCTTGCAGATTCAGGAGTCCCACTTCCTCCACCCATGGCTTCTTCTGTCCACCACCATGTAGCACTCTGCATGAACACTTCGTTCCTCCACCCAGAGGACACAGCACGTCCTACACCATAAAGCACTGGGCCTGCCGCAAGAGTGATTTACTTGACATCGTGGATGATAGCCTCAAAGGCCAGCTGTGCATGCTCATGGAAGAATGAACTGGAAAGAGGTTCTATTTGCTGGATCTCTCTGAACACCAGGGCTATAAAAAGGTATCTAAACTCTACAGCTCAGCAACTATGAGAAAATGAAGAAATATGTACTCACTCTGTAACATTGTCCTGTCTTGCCTAGGCGACTCACAAACCAAATTATTTTTGCTTGAATAACTTTGGTTGAGTCACATAATAATCCACTTTCATCTCATAGTAAAATTGGGTGTTAGTAAGATTTAATCATATTAAACCTGAAGCATATTACATCTGTTCTTTAACCAGGGGATTAGGAAAAGTTGAGTATTATTAATGAACACAATTTTATGAAAAAAAGAATGAGTTCATAGTAAAAAAGAAGCAAGCCATTGAATGCTTCATTATGGATGTTTTAACAATAACCTGAATAATAAAGAAATTCCACTTCATACCTGTAAATGTAGAGGTAATGTAGTATTTAGGGGAGTTTGTTTCTACGTTTTTTTTCCTAAGTGAAACTTTACCATTTGTTTTCATCTATTCAAAGTAGGTGTTACATGTTAGTGTGTATTTGTGCCTGTATCAAATATAAGAGTCTTCAAACCATGTACAGAAAATGTATATGATGGGACCAGCAGTTAGCATAATGGCTATGTAGCTGGATTCCCATGTAGTCGACCGCGGTTCGAGTCCCAGACCTGGTGGCTTAAACTCACACCAGGTGCGTGTGCGTGCATGCCCAAGATCCCGAGAGAATGGAGGAGAAGGGATTTCGGCATGGCCATTCCCTATGAGGGGTGATTTCTTGCTTTCTATCTCTCTGTCTCTCTCTGTCTGTCTGGTGAGCGCATGTGCACTAAAGCAAAAACCTCTCAAAAAAAAAAGTGCATATGATGAAAACAAACAAAAAACTCTGCATGGGTTTCAAACATATTTTTTCATCAAAATAAACTCATACTTTAATTCCGTTTTTACCATGAAGTTTTTGGTGTCCCTCCTATGCACGCAGTTGGACCTAAAACAAATATTTCTTTCTCTCCTTTCTCATTAACCTTCCAGGAGATATAACCGGTATCAGACAGACAGTCTGAAAGAGTTCGTAATTTTTTATCAGACAGATCTGAGTTTAAACTCGTCTCAATACATCCTAGCTGGATAAATTACTTAATCTAAGTCTCCAGTTCACTTATGTCTAAAATGGGAACAAATAACCCTAAATTCTCTGGGTTGCCACATTTGAAGCTGTCATACTGCTAAACTCTCATATTGACAGAATAAAACAGTGTCAGGCAGTGAGATACCTAATTAGCTCAGGATCTGTTTAGAATCAAGAGAACTGTCCCTTGTGCCCAATAAATCCCGCCAACAGGACAACCGTGAACCGTGGAGACGTGTCTGACGGCCTACCTCTGCAGCATACCTCACTCCGTCCACCATGTGCTCAGAGCCGTGATCATCAGCAGATCCCCAGTGCAGGTGAAACTGTCGCAACCTGTAGCTTCCAGACAGTGGACCCCCACGCAGAACTAAACACCAACACATTTTAAAATGTTAGCAAGCAAAGAATGTAGATGATGCTGCCGGTACCCACGACATCTCTCTCAGTTACTCCACATGTCCCTGCCCTCCAGGGAATCATTTTACAAGTGTGTCAAGAACAAAAACAAAACATTTCCAAGGTGAGAAAGTTACAGTGCAGATGTTTATGAAATACCTCCGGAGTCACAACAGACACCCTGGTCGAAAGTACGAGAAATTAGGAAGTCTGGGAAGTAAGGAATTGCTATTGAACAAAGAATAAAGCTGATCCATTGGCCTAGTAAGGGAAATGGAGTCTACGTGGCTGAATGCAGCTTGAATTCTGGCACTGGTGACTTAAAAACCACGCCAGGCACTTGTCCAGGCTTGTCCCAAGTCCTAACAGGATAGAGAAATTGAGGAGAAGAGATTTCAGCATGACCATGCCCCATGGGGGTGGGGGAGTTTCCATCAAACTACAATCTTGCATCCTCAGATAATTATGCATTCGAGTTTGTGTCGTCACACTCCTGGGAGGTGCTTTCTCTTCTTTCCTCCCCTTCTCTCTCTCTCTCTCTCTCTCTCTCTCTCTGGCAAGGGCACATATCCTCTGACAATTAAAAAAAATTAACTAATTTTAAAAAGGATAAGCCAGGCTTTCTGAATACGTATGTGATATTCAACGAGGTCTGTTTTGAACTTGGCAGAACAGAAAAGAATCGTGGTTAGGGCATAAACTTCAGCAATTAGAATACCTGGACTCATGGTCTCTAACTAACTGAATGATCTTTTACATGAAAGGTTCCCAGTTCAAGCCCAGAGACCTCCCTAAGTATACCAGGCACACACTTGCTCATGACCTGGGGCTAGCTGAAGGCTTGGTGTGGATCATCTTGGGGTTACAGCCTGTCTGTGTCTGTCTCTCTGTGTCTCACTCTCTCTCAAAAGAAATAAACAAATACATTTTTTGTTTAAAAATACATTTTTGCTATAGGGTACATGTACTCACTGGGGACAGAGAGAGAAAGAGAAACAGAAAGCAAGAAATCACCCCCAAGAGGGAAGGCCACACTGCAATCCTTTCTCTTCCATTCTCGTCTTGGGATTTTAGGCACACACACACACACACACACACATGCTCAGTATGTATTTCAAGCTGCCAGATCCAGGACTCAAATCACAGTTGACTATGTGGGGGTCCAACACTCCAACCACTACACCACCTGCTGGTCCCAACAAATAAAACTTTTTAAGATGACATATAAATGAATAAAATTTTTAGTTTCCTCTACAGAATTTCAAGACAATTCACAGATAAACTAATTTAAAAAGCACATTTCCATAAATAAAACCATAGTCTGTACATCGTCTACCAATTACAGATGCAATAACATTCCAGTATATAGTCGACAAATTACGGATGCAATAACATTCCCATGAAAAGAAATCAACAGCTCTGGTGCCCTTGTTTTTCTTCCCATTGCATGAGAAAACCTGAGCTGAACCATGAATTCATTCCTTCACAGATAAAAAGCAAATTAGAGAGCTTGAGCAATCCAAGTGGAATTGACTTTGGAAGAAGCTGCAAGCAAGCTGGCTCTGGAGTAAGAAAGTGATACAAAAAAACACACATTGTTAGGGCAACATCCAAGAACAGTGGCTGATCTCAGGAAAACTGGATCTGAGTCAAGAGTTTAAAACCAGATTAGCTTTAGTGAAGCAACAGACTGCCTTACACTTCACAGGTTTGGACTCCACATTTGAGTCTTTGAACAATAATAGCCAACCTGGGATTATGATCAGCAAATGTCGAATTGAGAAGACTATTCTCTTGGGACAGTGTTCTCCCGAAGGGATGGAAAAAAATGAGTAAAAATATCAAGGTTTATCTATCACTGGCTATATGACAATCTACAGTAAAACACCTAAATTATGGTATAAAATGAATAATGGCAATAGATTTTTTATTCTTTTTTAGTTTTAGCCATAGAGTGTGTGTGCTCACAAGACAGAGAGAGAGAGAGAGAAAGAGAGAGTGAGAAATCACTCCCCAGGCTGCAATCCCTTCTTCTCCATTATCCTCTTGCAAGTTTCTGGGTACATACACACACATGTATCTGGCATGTTTTTCAAGCCTCCAGGTCCAGGACCCAAACTACACAGTTGCCCATGTAGGATTTAGCTGCCCTACCCTCCACACAACCTGCTGGCCCTAAAACTTACTTTTAACAGGAATAATTTGGTGTTTCCAAATGTCAAATTATTCACCTTATTTTCTAACCTAGATAAGTAAATACATCTTATCTCCATTTTATGCTTAAAAACAAGTAATCATGGTAACTAGCAGTTGTTGTAATGGCTATGTCACTGGACTTCCATGTAGTCAACCAAGGTTTGAGTCCCGGACCCGGTGGCTTAAACTCATGCCGGGTGTGTGTGCGCGTATACCCAAGGTCCCGAGGGGAGAATGGAGGAGAAGGGATTGCGGCGTGGCCATCCTGCCAGG